TCGGTCAACTGTTGCCAGAAGCTGGTTAGAAGGGTTGAATACCTATCGACTGCTCAAGGGTCATTAAAGCTGCATTTCACCTATTCACCACCAGTCAAGAATACCTTAATCCCTATGACAGAAATTAAACTCAGTGTATATACATTAAGAGACAAATATCCTGGTATATATATATATAAAATATATATATATATATATATATATATATATATATATATATATATATATATATATATATATATATATATAATATATATATATATATATTGCAGCTGTTCCTTAAATATGTTAAATTTGTGGTTAAATATGTATGTTTTAATAACTTTTTGTACCCTCACCTAACTTAAAATACATAAAATAGGATTTTAAAATAATAGAAGTTCAAAGAAAATGACGTTGAGTACAACGTCAAAAATCTGGGGTAGAAAACTGAGAAAAAGGTCGTAACATCAGGTAAACGACGCATTCACATTGTGGGGAAAAAACATCGTAAAAGAGTCAACACTGTCTTGGGATTCATCAGATCATGAAGAAATGCCAACGTTTCTCTTGGTAGTCGAACAAAACGTTCCATATTTGACTTCCTCAGTGAAAAAAAAAATTATAAACAACTTCCACAGTAAGAAAGAAAATTCGTAAATGATTTCTATAAACGATTTGTCATTGCATTAAAATCTGCAATTGACTTCCCTAGTGAAAAAAAAAAATCCATAGATAATTTGCCAAGTAAAAAAAACCATAAACGACTTACCCAATGCAAAAAAAAAAAAATAGTTTTCCCAGTCAATTTTTTTTAAATCACTCCCTACTGAGGAAAATATGCATATATGATTTCCCCAATGAAAAAAATACACATCCTCCCCTTCCCTTTGACCTACCTTGACCCAGGAGACCCGGTCTTACTTGAGCGCACACACACTCAAAAGAAAATGTCATCTAAGACCTGAAAGACAGAACTCAGGGCAGAGAAAAACAGGTGTTACTACTCCCTTGAGCAATCAGTTAAAGTGCCAGTGAGATTAATATTCTTCCAAGAGATGGCACCACCACCCTGCTTCACCAGAGAAATATCAGCCGGGAACTGTAAGCAATATGAAATATCTCAAGTAATGCGGAACGAGCCTATATTTTAGTCAGCGGTATTAAATCATGAATTTACCACGACTAAAAAGTCACAATACACTGCCTGGATTTAATTTCTAATTCCTTTTTGTGACGCGGTAAACCATTGTAGGTGATTCAGTGGGTGATGCATTGCAAGGAGTGGTGGAGGCTTGATGTTACATTCTCTCTTAGCCAGCCAGGCTAAGGAAAGAATCATCGTGATTGGAACAATACAACAATAACCCCCCACTTATGTGAGGGACGATACGAATTAAAGGGCCGTCCTGAGCCACTGTCAAGTTACAACTGGGACGAGAACAGTAGAGAAGGCCACGAGAGAATACGCAGGGGGCACGGAAAAAAGGGAGTAGTGGTAGCAGTAGAAGTGGTGCTGGTAGTAGTAGTAGTAGTAGTACATGTAGTAATAATAATAATAGTAATAATAATAGTAATAATAATAGTAATAATAATGGTAATAATAATGGTAATAATAATAATAATAATAATAATAATAGGAGTAGTGGTAGTAGTAATAGTAGTAAAAGTACTAGTAGTCATGAATTTAAACTCAAGAAAATTAAAAAACTATTACTAGAGGTGTACAACGTTTAGTTAATACATGATGAATATCAAACTGTTGCCTATGTGTCTTACCTACCAACCTGTCAGTATTGTATACCATTTTGATATTCACCCTGTCAGACACTGCAACACAATGGCATCTTGGTACAGAAAACACCTTGGACAACATTTACAAGTGAGAATTGTTTGATCTGAGAGGGACGTGACCTCTCAGTGGCTACATTCTCACTACTGCACCTCTCCTTCCGACAGTATTTAAGTCTCCGCACTCTCGCTTGATCTTTTGATAGTTCCTGACTATGGAACTGAACTTCTCCAGGCTGAGGGACTGACAACCTCAAATCTACGACTTCAAGGGTGATGGACTGATTACATCGTCTTCACATCTCTACTGTTCCTGCCTACTTTCTGTATTCGACTGAAGAAGCCTGTGTAGGCGAAACGTTTCGGAATAAAGTTGCCTAACTGTTACCTATGTGTCTTACCTACCAGTTAATACATAATGACCTTTCTCAAGTGAATCACATGTAGTGCCTTTTTCTCCTGTGAATCACATGTAGTGACATTTCTCATGTGAATCACATGTAGTGAGCGAAACGTTGTGAAACTCTAATAAATAAAATATCATTCATTCCCCTGAGCTTATTTTCATCACTCCTTGTCACAGCTGTTGGCCCAAATTCACACAAGTCATGAATTACTCAGGTTCCATCTCGAGCGACACGTCGTCTTAAAGAATTTCTGCGTTACGCGTCTTTGTACGATCCATAAATCCTATTTAAAACAAGAGAGATGCCACATTTGCGTCAGAGCCTAGATTATAAAGTTCATGTGTAATTTTTAAAGAAAATGAGTTAGGCAGAGTGTCTTCAAGATGAATTTAAAGTCTGATGAGTATGACACATGTGTAACAGCTGGGTATCCTTAATGTTTAAACTGTTGCACATGTGCAACATTTAGGTATCTTTAATGTTGACACTCCTGCACGTCTTATCTACTTTGACTGACACAGATGTCTTGTCGGTATTGTAGACTGACGTAGATGTCTTGTCAGCAGTGCATTATTATTATTATAATCAAAAAAGAAGCGCTAAGCCACAAGGGCTATACAGGTCAGCAGTGCAGACTGACGAAGATGTCTTGTCAGTAGTGCAGACTGACGTAGATGTCTTGTCAGTAGTGCAGACTGACGTAGATGTCTTGTCAGTAGTGTAGACTGACGTAGATGTCTTGTCAGTAGTGCAGACTGACGTAGATGTCTTGTCAGTAGTGTAGACCGATATAGATGTCTTGTCAGTAGTGCAGACTGACGTAGATGTCTTGTCAGTAGTGCAGACTGACGTAGATGTCTTGTCAGTAGTGCAGACTGACGAAGATGTCTTGTCAGTAGTGCAGACTGACGAAGATGTCTTATCAGTAGTGCAGACTGACGTAGATGTCTTGTCAGTAGTGTAGACTGACGTAATGTCTTGTCAGTAGTGCAGACTGACGTAGATGTCTTGTCAGTAGTGCAGACTGACGAAGATGTCTTGTCAGTAGTGCAGACTGACGTAGATGTCTTGTCAGTAGTGCAGACTGACGAAGATGTCTTGTCAGTAGTGCAGACTGACGTAGATGTCTTGTCAGTAGTGTAGACTGACGTAGATGTCTTGTTAGTAGTGCAGACTGACGAAGATGTCTTGTCAGTAGTGCAGACTGACGTAGATGTCTTGTCAGTAGTGCAGACTGACGTAGAGGTCTTGTCAGTAGTGTAGACTGACGTATACATCTTGTCAGGATTATATATTGACGCAGACATCTTGTAGGGATTGGATACTGACGTAGACGTCTTGTCACTACTATATACTAACACAGACGTATACAAAAATTATTAAATTCACTGGGTAGCACCAAGAACGTAGTGGTTATACAGCACGTGGAGAACGGGAGATAACCAGGTTGGATCTAAAATTTAGTAGTTCCCAACCTCGGAGTATGAAAGGGCCAATCTGAAAAGGGAAATTTAAAGGAGGGCTACATTTCGCAATTTTTCTATTTACTTATGAATAATAACAATAATATGTAACTGTTGACACTGTGCATTGTGGAGCCTACATAAAAGTGAATTCGTACTTTCACGTGATGGCCGCATTCATCTCCATGTTGTCCCATGTTCAGTGGATCGACGCACTTGTTCTTTACTGTACACCTGTTCGCCCCTTCGTCCTCAACCTGCGGCCTGAGGGCCGCATGTGGCCCTTCTAGGAAGTGAATGCGGCCTTCAGGCCGCAGGCTGGGGTGTAAACGAAAGAGTACTGCAAATGATTTGAAAGGGCAACACAGGTGTACAGTAAAGAACACGTCCGTCGATCCACTGAACATGGGACACACATGATGTCCCAGCATCACGGGTATCAGGGAAGATGAAGCCCAGAACACTTGTTGAATCCACGGGATTGAGAACTTCAGACTGGAGTCTCAAGTCACGTTTTTCCTCAACGTCCAATGAAAACTCTGGTGCCGGAAAACATTTCATATTTTTATGAGAAAGTATGAAGGAAAAATGGCCAAAATACTGCCACGTTTTACCCTGGAAGTATGGGTTAAGGCAAGATTCTCCGAAACTACTCGAATTTATCTAGATGTAAATTCTGTACTGAAGAGTGAAAAAAAGACACGTTTCGGAACAAGTTCTGGGACAAGTCGAAACTTGATAAAGCTCTACGCAGAGTGAAACGCTTATCTCACTAAAAACATGTTCTCCAACATGTACGCATTCCTCACGAACTTTTCTAATTGTGATATTCATCCGTATTCCCTCAAAATATATGTGATGAAATAACCGTGTAACAGGCTCTGTATGCACTCGGGCAGCGGGTTCAAATACTTTCAATATAGTTTCCATTAATATTGTAGGACAGTGGTACAGTGGATATTTCATCCACTGGTCTTTATTAGATTACATTTTGACGCACGCACACGCACATTATATATATATATATATATATATATATATATATATATATATATATATATATATATATATATATATTATATATATATATATATATATATATATATATATATATATATATGCAAGACAAGCCACGGGGGTGGAAATTTTTAGCTCAAATATTTTAAAATTTCTCAGTGCGTCATCAGGAGCTGTGTAAAGTTGCAAAATTAGCAACAGGAGAAATGAGAAGCTTTCTCAGAGTAAGGTAGCGTGAGTGACACTCGCTAGCACCTCTCTCGGCATTCACATGTATTTTTTTGTATTATAGTGAATGTGTACATATATAAAGCCTATATACTAAAAATAGATTTTCCTTCAGGATACTTGGTGGATCGCGCTGGGGCTGGCACTGGTCTCTACATGGGGCCATACTTCCCTAGCCCACAACCTATGAACATCACCGTCCACCAGGACACCGTAGCTTACCTTCCTTGTACCGTAGCACAACTGGGAGACAAGTCGGTAGGTCCTTCACTCTATGTGCGGTCTCTAGTAAAACTGTTCCTACTCTCGCTTATATTTCTTTAATGTTCGACGCGTTTTTCTGATTTTAAATTAGATATATCAGGTGTATTAAGATATTGTTAGTAAAGTGGTGAAGTACGGAGGATTTAGTTTCAATAAAAGAAACGTCTTAAATAATTACTGTTAACAGCATGTGACCTAATTACTCTAAGGGACCATTAAGGTTGATAGTAATCAATCAAGAAACCATACTGGTTGACAGTAATCTATCTATAGAACCATACTGGCTAGCAGTAATTAGTCTATGGAATCATACTGGCTGACAGTAATCAGTCTATGGAACCATACTGGCTAACAGTAATCAATCTATGGAACCGTACTGGCTGACAGTAATCAGTATATGGAACCATACTGGCTGACAGTAATGAATCTATGGAACCATATTAGCTGACAGTAATCAATCTATGGGACCATACTGCTACGTTACAACTGATATGTTACAATTGCTGAGTCACTTGCTTCACGTGGAATCGTTTGTGACAATGTGTGTATTACACTTTACTATAAGTCGTTCAAAGTAATAATTCTATTCTAGGCAATTTTAATTCTCTTTTACCGTTGCATAGGAAATTAGTATTCAAAGAAGATTAGAAACTTATGCCTCACCCTGTACGTGCGTAGTCATTAACTGAAATCATCAGTTCCTTCAGTCAGTCTGGGGTCCTAAGACAGGTATTCCTTCTGCAGGTGTTGTGCGTGTAGTAATCAATACGAAGAATGTAACACTTGGGAATCTTTACTGAGGAAACGTTCCCTCAATAAAGATTCCTAAGTGTTGTACAAGTGTCTGATTGTTCACGTCAGTTTTGTAAACAACTTACATCACAGTAATCAATACCTTCAGACAGTCGGGGTTACTACGAGAGGCATTCTTTCTGCAGGTGTTGTGTGTGTGGTAATCAATATCTTCAGTTAGTCTAGGATACTAAGAGAGGTATTATTTCTGCAGGTGTTGTGTGTGTATTAATCAAAACCTTCAACGAGTCATGGATCCTAATGACGATACTCCTATCGGTATCATGTGCGTGTGTGGTAATGAAAAATTTCCCGTCCGTCCTGGACGTCAGGTCTTGATTTGATAATAGTCCAAGACGGATCGAAACGCAGAAATTGTAGGTTAGCTATGAATGCTACCATCCAAACGCTGCTGTGAATGCTAATCTTCTTGTTTTAGGTGTCGTGGGTTCGACAGCGAGACGCGGACATCCTGACGGTGGACCGCTACACCTTCGTCAAGGACGAACGACTCAAAGTGCACATCACTCCGGAAACCGGTACCTGGACGCTAGTCATAAAATTCGTGCAGGAACGCGACGCAGGCACCTACGAGTGCCAGATCTCCACGGAACCTAAAATGTCTATGCTTGTCCACCTCCATGTTATAGGTAAGCCTTGTCTCTAATATGTGTGTGTGTGTGTGTGTGTGTGTGTGTGTGTGTGTGTGTGTGTGTGTGTGTGTGTGTGTGTGTGTGTGTGTGTACTCACCTAGTTGTACTCACCTAGTTGAGGTTGCGGGGGTCGAGTCCGAGCTCCTGGCCCCGCCTCTTCACTGATCGCTACTAGGTCACTCTCCCTGAGCCGTGAGCTTTATCATACCTCTGCTTAAAGCTATGTATGGATCCTGCCTCCACTACATCGCTTCCCAAACTATTCCACTTACTGACTACTCTGTGGCTGAAGAAATACTTCCTAACATCCCTGTGATGTGTGTGTGTGTGTGTGTGAAATGCGAAGGCGTAAATCGATACTTATATTCATAACAATTCTCTTGAAATGTTGATATCAGTCGTTACGGCTCCTGTGATTCCCACGAACTGAAATGTATCAAAACCTGACACTATTGTTGCTTTTATCAGCGCAACATTATAGAAACTGACCATCCGCTAGCCCAGGAATTTTCTTTCAATTGATAACTGCACAATTGTAATATTCCATATGAAAAATCTTTTATTTTTCTTTCTTTTCGTCTTCTTAGTTTTTCTCTTTATATATTTTTAATTCCCGTTTTCGTCTTTTTTATTCCTCTTCTTCACATAATTATAATTAAGATTATGTTTTTTATATTTAGGGAAAACTCAATACGTGTGAGGATCACATAGTGTCTGGGGAATGGGAGGTAAACAGGGTTTGATCCGAGGAAGGGGAGGGTAATTACCATTCCCAGAAATAAGAGCAGATCGCGAGTAACAAAGCACCACGTACCCTCCTCCCTTTAGGGTTTTGTGTTGATTGCAACCCCCTGAGTTTTGTGGTATCAGTGGCTGGAGGGTATGGTTGACGACTTGGTATTGGTGGCTGGAGGGTACGGTAGTTGGCATCAGTGACCGGAGGGTATGGTAGTTGACATGGCATCAGTGACCGGAGGGTATGGTAGTTGACATGGTATCAGTGGCTGGAGGATATGGTTGATGACTTGGTATTAGTGGCTGGAGGGTACGGTAGTTGACTTGGTATCAGTGGCTGGAGGGTATGGTAGTTGGTATCAGTGGCTGGAGGGTATGGTAATTTACTTGCTATCAGTGCTGGAAAGTATGGTGCCTGACTTGTTATCAGTGCTGGAAAGTATGGTGCCTGACTTGCTATCAGTGCTGGAAAGTATGGTGCCTGACTTTTTATCAGTGCTGGAAAGTATGGTGCCTGACTTGCTATCAGTGCTGGAAAGTACGGAGCCTGACTTGCTATCAGTGCTGGAAAGTATGGTGCCTGACTTGCTATCAGTGCTGGAAAGTATGGTGCCTGACTTACTATCAGTGCTGGAAAGTACGGAGCCTGACTTGCTATCAGTGCTGGAAAGTATGGTGCCTGACTTGCTATCAGTGCTGGAAAGTACGGAGCCTGACTTGCTATCAGTGCTGGAAAGTATGGTGCCTGACTTGCTATCAGTGCTGGAAAGTATGGTGCCTGACTTGCTATCAGTGCTGGAAAGTACGGAGCCTGACTTGCTATCAGTGCTGGAAAGTATGGTGCCTGACTTGCTATCAGTGCTGGAAAGTACGGAGCCTGACTTGCTATCAGTGCTGGAAAGTACGGAGCCTGACTTGCTATCAGTGCTGGAAAGTATGGTGCCTGACTTGCTATCAGTGCTGGAAAGTATGGTGCCTGACTTGCTATCAGTGCTGGAAAGTACGGAGCCTGACTTGCTATCAGTGCTGGAAAGTATGGTGCCTGACTTGCTATCAGTGCTGGAAAGTATGGTGCCTGACTTGCTATCAGTGCTGGAAAGTATGGTGCCTGACTTGCTATCAGTGCTGGAAAGTATGGTGCCTGACTTGCTATCAGTGCTGGAAAGTACGGAGCCTGACTTGCTATCAGTGCTGGAAAGTATGGTGCCTGACTTGCTATCAGTGCTGGAAAGTATGGTGCCTGACTTGCTATCAGTGCTGGAAAGTATGGTGCCTGACTTTTTATCAGTGCTGGAAAGTATGGTGCCTGACTTTTTATCAGTGCTGGAAAGTATGGTGCCTGACTTTTTATCAGTGCTGGAAAGTATGGTGCCTGACTTGAAACCAGTAGCTACAAGATACTGTATCTCATCTTCAAATCATTATGAAGCTGTGTGTAGTCTGCGGTCAATCAAACAAACGGGCTTCCACATGGATAAATTGTCATTTTTGTGGAAATTGGTGTCACGCCCCTTGTGCAGATATCCAAGAACTATCTACAAACAGTATTAAAACAGGGAAGTGTTTTTGGGTATGCCCAAATGAGATAAATCTGTGGACTAAAATCACAAGGGCATTAAAAGAGGATAACATCAAAGCTGATTTCATAGAAAACCTGGAAGCTTTCTACAACAGATGGGAACATAAAAAGTCTGGGCTGAATGGTACTGCCCTTGATACTGGCCATGTAGTCAGAAACTAAGGCTGGAGGTGATGTCCTGGTAGTCAGTAAATGTGGGGCTGATAGTGCTGTCCTGGGAGACAGTAATGGTGAAGCTGGACGTGCTGTCCTGGGAGACAGTAATGATGAAGCTGGAGATTTTGTCCAGGTAGTCGGGAATTATACGCAGGAAGGAATACATATAAATGACCTCATAGGGGACAGGAGCCGTAGTGGGGAAACAAGTGTAGTCAAAGATAAGATAAAACCAATATTGCAAACTAGAAATACCACAGGAAATAGCAAATAAGAGGACTCCACTAGCAATAGTGAGGATATACTACCAAAAACAACTGGTGGGAGCTCCATTGTTGGTGCTAGGGAGGATAGGAATAAGACAGGGAAACATGCACCAACAGGGAATACAGTCACAGAAACCCAAGGCAAACGGAAACCAAGCCTGTGCACATACTATGCACTTGGTATCTGCAGGCATGGGAAATCTGGAAAAACAGACGGGACGTGCAACTATGACCACCCTAGAAAATGCCATGCCCATATGACAACAGGAAAATGCAAACTCCCTTCCTGTAAGCTTTTTCACCCTGAACTGTGTACCTCTTCAGTACAGGAAAGACTGTGCTATAACTTAAATTGCTAGGCACACCATCTAAAGGGGACAAAAAGATACAAAACATCCAGGCCATGGGAAAACCTGGGTAGCCACAGCAACTCAAGAGGGAGAGGTTTTTTAGTGCCAGGAAGGAAAAAAAACTGGCAGGAAATGGCAGAAATCGTACACCAAATCCAGTCATTCCTGGAGTGGAACCACAGTCGATGGCCTCCACTCCAAACCAACAGATACAGATATTAATGCCGGAAAAAAAATCCCCCCCCCCAGTACCAACAATACCACCAGTCCGATGACATTCTTCTTTGCAAATATACAGGGTCTAAAGCCAGCAACAAACAAAATACCTTTCATCCGTGGACTGCTTGCAGAGGCAAAGGCAATGTTCGCGGCTTTCACTGAGACCCACATAAAGGATCACTTGGACAACGAAATATGGATCCCAGGTTACAACCTATACAGATGTGACAGAGTGAACAGGCAAAAAGGGGGGGGGGGGGTTGGCCTGTACATTGCAGAGTCACTTGTTTGCACAGAACTGCTTAATGCCTCAAATGACGTAGTGGAAGTTTTAGCAGTAAAGGTCGAGAACCAAAACCTAGTCACTGTGGTAGTCTACAAGCCTCCGGATGCAACATCCCAGCAATTCCAGGAACAGCTGTTAAAAATTGACCACTGTCTGGAAAATCTTCCAGCTCCTGCACCCAACATCTTGCTCCTGGGGGATTTCAACTTAAGGCACCTAAAATGGAGGAATATAGCAAATAATATTGTTGCAGTAATAACACCAGGAGGCAGCTCTGATGAAAACCTCACACTTACACGAGCTTTTAAATCTCTGCACAAAATTCAATTTAAACCAGCAAATAATAGAGCCTAGTAGACTGGAGAATACACTAGACCTCATCTTCACTAACAATGATGATCTGATAAGAAATGTCACCATATCAAAAACAATATACTCAGATCACAACATAGAGGTTCAGACATGTATGCGTGGAGCCCCAGACCGACATAATGAGACTAGTCACGAGGGAGCATTCACCAAATTCAACTTCAATAACAAAAACAAAGTGGGACCAAGTAAACCAAGTCCTAACCGATATAAGCTGGGAAGATATACTAAGCAACACAGACCCCAACTTATGCCTAGAACAGATTAACTTGGTGGCACTCGATGTATGCACAAGGCTTATTCCTCTAAGAAAAAGGAGGAGTAGATGTAAAATAGAAAGAGACAGGCGCTCCCTTTACAGGCGACGGAAAAGAATAACAGAGCGGCTAAAAGAGGTCAATATATCTGAAATGCGTAGGGAGACACTGGTCAGAGAAATAGCAAGCATCGAACTTAAGCTAAAGGAATCTTATAGGAGTCAGGAATCGCGGGAAGAACTAAAAGCCATAAATGAAATCGAAAGAAACCCAAAGTATTTCTTCTCCTATGCCAAATCAAAGTCGAGAACAACGTCCAGTATTGGGCCCCTACTTAAACAAGATGGGTCCTACACAGATGACAGCAAGGAAATGAGTGAGCTACTCAAGTCCCAATATGACTCAATTTTTAGCAAGCCGCTAACCAGACTGAGAGTTGAAGATCAAAATGAATTTTTTTATGAGAGAGCCACAAAATCTGATTAACACAAGCCTATCCGATGTTATCCTGACGCCAAATGACTTCGAACAGGCGATAAATGACATGCCCATGCACTCTGCCCCAGGGCCAGACTCATGGAACTCCGTGTTCATCAAGAACTGCAAGAAGCCCCTATCACGAGCCTTTTCCATCCTATGGAGAGGGAGCATGGACACGGGGGGTCGTCCCACAGTTAAAAACAACAGACATAGCCCCACTCCACAAAGGGGGCAGTAAAGCAACAGCAAAGAACTACAGACCAATAGCACTAACATCCCATATCATAAAAATCTTTGAAA